CAGTAACTTTTCTTTCCTCTGATCGAAGCAAATATTCTTAATCTATGGGAAATGACAAAAATGAGAAGGAAATGCTAATAATGGGCACCCTTAAAAATAAGCTCTGACATAAGATGTAAAGTAGACGCAAACGCTCCCGTTATGAATGTTTATTGATGGAGTAAAAGTGTGCCTTGAAATCATTCTGGTGGTCTTTAATATAAAAGACAGGCAATATGGAAGAAAACTGTGCGCAGTCATACAGAATGCCTAACCTCCAGACGTAATTAAAGATGCAGTTAAGTTTATTAAGAGGATATTTTTTCGTTTGCGTGAAATATGGTATATATTTTCATGAAACATGATAAAATGCCACATATTTTCACGAGCCGGTACGGCGAGTGAAAATATGTGGCATTTTATCATGTTGAGTGAAAATATATACCATATTTCACGAAAAACGAAAAAAACAAAAAACTTTTTATTTAATTTCATTATCAAAGAAAATGGTAACGAATTCCCTTGCTTGCTACCAACTGCTATTGTACAGCGCGCAGTAATATATGCGTAAGCACGCGCTGTTTGGCGCTACATTGTGACGTCATGTAAAAAACTCTTAACACGTCTGTACAGCGTTGATTACTGAATTAAAGATATTGGTGTTCGGATTAATTTTCTTAGTTAGACCATTTTCTATCATGCTAGATAGTTTTCAAAACAAAATTCAAGAAAAAGTTGTTTTGTATTCATCAGATTTTTCAAACAAACCGGCGAAAGAAGTCCCTTAAAATAAATATGAGTTTTAACTCCACCCACTTTCATATTTATATTTCATATTTATTTTAAAAAAATATGAAATATATTTGACTGAAATAGCACCATATTGCATGGGTAAAATTAAATAAACTGGTATACTGAGTTACGCGAGTTAGGAGGGATTGCCTCAGCCTGCAGTACTAAAGGGGGGGGGGGGTGATGAGGCCCCTATATATTTACTATGGAACAGAATTAATGCATTTATTCTATCTTGCTTGATGACATTGGAACTTGCATTATGCTTAATTCCATCTTGCTTTATGACATTGGAACTTGCATTATGCTTGATTCCATCTTGCTTGATGACATTGGAACTTGCATTATGCTTAATTCTATCTTGCTACATGACATTAGAACTTGCATTATGCTTGATTCCATCTTGCTTTATGATATTTAAACTTTGCATTATGCTGGTTTCCATTTTTCGTTATTTCATTCAAACATTTCGTAGTCACCAATTCTTTCATTGAGTGATAACTAATAAATTGGAACAAGCCATTTGGAAAACTAAAATGTTAACGTCATATACCTTTATGCATAAGCTACCTTTCTTCATGCTCTATACAAACCATTTACGGTTTAGTTTTTTTGTATTACTTTTATGTATAAGACATTTAAATTTAACTATTTAATGTTCCCTGAGGGATTTTTTAAAATATGACTTATAGCTCGCATGGCGTGATTACTATTAGCTTTCGCTTATATCCATTATGCAGTGTTTATGCTTAATAAAGCTCGGTGTCTGAGGCTTTGTGGATAATGTTTGATCATCTTACATTATTATAAACAATTAAAACTATGTACTGTTAAGGGGCGAGAACTCTGTTATCGATGTCAACGGAATTGTTTCCACGATTCGCCTATCATCGGAATTTTCCGTATAGATACCGCGTACATGTATATATAAATACGTACTAAGCGTTTAATACATACATTGCAGTTGAAAGAATATAAATACAAGTAGTAAAGGATTATGCAATATAATTTTATATATGTATACAGTCTAATAGAAAAAAATATGCTCGTAAAAAGTGATGCAATGGGGCAGTTACACGTACAGTCAGTGGCGGTTTCAGGCCATGGCTTAAGGGCTGCACCTACCCCCAAATATACGTGGAATATATACGTGTCAGTTTCATGCCATAATCTTCTTAGTGTACTCCCTAACCAAAACATATTATGCTGTCATCAAGTTGTCTTGCACCTGCCTAGGTACTGCGAAGGTCTTATCTAATGACTTGGACATTAAAAAGCAAAAATTATTGGCCTTTTAACTTAATAAATGTCTCAGAGTCACTAGTAGTGGCAAATAGGTATGTAACGCATTAAAATATACATGTATAATAAGGAAAGAAGGAAGTTGTTTATTTTTGCAACACGTGCATAGTCAATTACAAATGAGCCGCGTCACGACAAAACCAACATAATGGGTTTGCGACCAGCATGGATTCAGACCAGCCTGCGCGTCCGCGCAGTCTGATCAGGATCCAGGCTGTTCGCTACCAGTTTCTCTACTTGTAAAAGAGTTTGAAAGCGAACAGCATGGATCCTGATCAGACTGTGCGGACGCGCAGGCTGGTCTGGATCCATGTTGGTCGCAAACCCATTATGTTGGTTTTGTCGTGACGCGGCTCAAATGTTGGGCATATGTGTGTCTGATTATAGATCAGACATCCCTTACACACCACCACATTCACATACATTTGTGCTTAATGATATACTATGCACATCTTTCAGTAACATATTTTATCACAGAAATTTATTGAAATCTATAAAATTCTTACTAAATATGTTTTATTTAAATAATCAAAGGGCTGTATGCTCTGTGGTATTTTCTGATCTTTCCTGTATAAGTTTATTTTTATATACTATTATTCATCTTACGCAGGGACTGCGTTTAACATGCAGTTTGTGATTGATACATATGGAATTTTGCATGCTTAGAGTTGCATCAAAAATCATTTTTCATTTTTTATTACAACCACACTTTATCCTTGCATATCGTGGCAACTTCCTTAAAAAAGCCACTTCAAAAAAATGTTGCCTCGACAAGGATTTTAACCTCAGGCCTCTCACACCTTAAACGAGCGCGCTACCTCTGCACCACAGTGAAGTAATACGTATGTAGCGTGAATAAAAACAAATATATTGTAATTCTAAAATTGAGAATTTTCATTTCGTATTTGTAATCCTTATTTATTTCGAGGTATTTTGTTCACGATAAACCTGTTGTTAAACACTGATGAAAATAATTTAGCGAAAATCTTCTCGCCAAAACAGTCCGACATGTAAAAATTCCATTACTCGACAGTCAGATTTATTTGTGTGCTACGCTCTGGAGTATTCGGTAATCGACATAGCTAAAAATAGGATTTTCATTGATTAAGCTTTACGGAAATAGTGGAACATTTTTCATTGGGTAAAAAAAGATATTCATCCGCGAAATTTGTGATTGTAACCTCATATTTCTATTGACTAATGTAAACTTTTAATGCACTGTAATTCGTTCAATGCCTACATTAAAATTATTATTTCTTTAAATTGCTGGTTTTTAAGCAGTTTTGAGTGAGAACTACTTTGCGTTGTTAGGTCTGTGAGGAAATTTTGTGTTAGACCGTGGATGTTAGCTATGTATTTACTGATTTTGCGATCAGAAAATACAAAAACACATACACATAATGTATAGGAATCTGCTTTCCTTATTACGGGTCAAGTAAAGTTGTGTCTGTCTTTAAAAGAAACTTCCATATATATATTTTTTGTAATAACACTATACGTTTACGAATGTATATTCATACTGCCCACTTACAGTGTAAAGGATTGAAAGAACAATATTTGTATGAAGCCAAATCATATTTATTTTATTCTACAGGAAAAAATCAAGTTTGTACTGTATTAACTACTAAGTCGTGGCCACGAGTTACTAGATCGTTTTAGTCGTGGGAACGAGATAACTGTGTCGTGCAGACGAAATAATTTAATCAGATTACACCATGATTTTCTAAACTTAGAAAATTTCTGTTTAAAGATTTACGTGCAACATTATTTTTTTGAAAATACTGAAGTGTTCACTTTGAACTTGATACATGTCTTAAGGATCATCAGGCCCATAAACCATACATTAATTTTGACTTAGTTATAGCCCTTTGTTTGAATAATTCTATGATAGAATTGGTCATTTTGTACGTACAACGGCCTGTTAACATTTGAGAGGGACTTAGTCCTGGTTTATTTTATTGGGTAGGGACATTGCCCATGGACAGTAGATATCCTATGAGGATGTTTGAGGTCACGGGTCAGACAAACATGACACTTCATGTAAAATCATTGTCTAATCGATGAATGATTTAGAAAGAATAAGCTGTAGTTTATATAACCTAAAAAGATCAGTAGATGACATCTAATAATTTTTCGGCAATTTGGTCAGAAATCAGGGTCACAATGACGCTAAATCTTTGACCAATCAATAACTTGTATGAATGTACGTACTTTTACGGACAGGAGAAGTAGGGGCATCCTTGTTAGGAAAATTCATATAAATAGTGTAATTTGATTGGTTATTAAATATCTCGTTCCCACGACTTAACTATCTCGTGGTCACGACTTAGTAACCCGTGGCCACGACATAGTATCTCGTGCGCATGAGATAAATAAAAACACACACATGTCACCTTTGTGCCACCGTAAGTTTGAGCATAGTATATCTTAAAATTCAATTTCACTATTGCTCATACGACTATCACACACGCCCAAAAAGAAGTGTAAACAATTATATAAGAGGTGAGTTGCCACTTGTAGGATGAGTTATTAGAGAAATCTATAACATTTTTTTTCACATGCTGGCGGAATCTTCAAAAACACGCACTTTTCGTCTGTCGCATCGTGTTCCCTTGTTTTCCAGTAAATTTTCCCTTTACATGTCAGTCTCCAACTAACACTGTTCTGTATACGCCCCTGTATAAAGGGGACGTAAATTTGTTTTACTCCACGTGCCAAAATACGGGATCATCCGGAAAATAACGGGATGTACCGATAAAGCGACACCTGCTGTCATAATACGAACACAAATTATTGCAACTCGCATTGTGCTTACTGCCAACTGCTTAGTGCGTACTGTCACATGCGACTATAATATCGCTATCGTTGTCATCTTCGTTGTCGATGCGCAGTGATCCTATATTGCATTATATTTGTAATCAGTGAATATATTGAAGCATATGAATGCTAAGACACATCAAATTCGCCAATTATTGATCAAAATTAATAATTTATTGTGACATAATGTCGACAATATAAGGCAAATTAAAGGTACTGACAGAAACTAACCATGTGACATTTAGTTATATCAAGAACAAGCAAAGAATGGTATCTTAAACACCAAACATAATACGTTGATCTTTATAAAAGATGCAATTAAACATATAGCATATTAAAATATGTGAGTTTGATGGTTTAGTAGGGAACACATAAGGTTGCAATTACATGAAAGTGCATTCAGTAATAATAAGGCATGATTGAATTCAGCAAAACGCAGGTTTTCATTGTCATAAAGAAGTATAGAAGCAAGCATAATGTAAGTCCCAATATCATAAAGCAAGATGGAATAAATGCACTAATTCTGTTCCATAATTTACCGTCGTCTGATGTAATGCATTCAGTGCACAGTGATTACGTTTCACGCTGTACGGAAGTTGGGAAGTTGGTTTATCAACATTTAAAGATATATGGGAAACGTGTGTGCCCTATATAAAATATCCTCGCCGAAAGAGGATGTGTGTAAAGCCTGTGAGGTCTGTAAACAGGATATTAAGCTTGCCCAGGGTGAAAACGACAAGATAGAGGCAACCTTGAAATACCATCAACATGTACTGCAAGTAAGAAAGGAACGTGACCTTTACATGGAACTTGTAGAAAAATCAAAATCAATGTTTGTAAATCGGGAACAACACAACCAGGCTGCCGATGATAACCTTTCTACAAATGACGTACATTATACGTTTGACGTCAGTCAGTATGTTAAGTTGTCACATCATGCACAAGAAAAGGGACCCATATTTTTCATTCAGTCGAGAAAAGTGCAGGTATGACTTTCAATCTAAGTGCTAATTATCTATTTTCATGTATACACTCTAAACTTTTTCGTTTCTTTAACAATTACTATAAACGTGAAAATTACGTGTTAGTACCTTAGTTAATATAAATTTTCTTTGAATAAATTTTCTATGCAGTAAATGTGTACATGCTGTATCTTTCAGATATTTGGTTTCCGAGCCGATGGCTACAAACAGTACAATTATCTCATAGATGAGGACCAAACAATTGGTAGTTAAAACAGTTTTTGGCTTTTCTGTAAAATGATAGTTTAAAGGAAGTAGTAATGATTGAAAAATAATAGAGTTACAATAGGATATTACAATAACATAATGTAACTTTAGATTTTTGATTACTTTTTCTTTAAATTTTAGTTTCATTTGATTTTTCTCAATTCTTGAACATCATTGTATGGAATTAAATACATGAACGTAAATCTTTTCCTCAGGTCAGAATAAGAATAGATCTATACGTTCTAGCCTAACTGTCATAGTGTACGATGATTGGATCGCATAGAAAATACATGATGCAATTATCAGAACATACAAGGTAGTTTTGAACTTTTAATTGTTCTATTAAAAGGTTAACAGATATTAGTTACCCTAAAATACATATACTACGTAAATTCCCAATGGGACGAGAACTTGATTTTTAAACATGTTTTCTTAATCTCTGCCTGTAAATTCATGTAATCAGAAAAAGGAAATGCAAATCACAAGTTCAGGCTCTAAAATCATGTATATAATACAAGTTTGCTTCTTTAAAAAGAAGCCTGCGAGAGGATTTTTTGCTGCTGTGGAAAATTTGTGTAATTCGAAAATATTTGGGGATATTTTTGCATAACAGACACAATGAATGTTTATAAATTACAATTATTTAACAAAATAGAATTTATTATTGCAATGAAAGTTTATTTTACATTTCATCTTTTTTTAATGTTTTAAAAGATTACATGCCGGAGAAATGGACTTTTTTCTTGGCGCAATAGGGATACTTTTTCTACAAAAAAAAATTGTAAAATTACTTAATGTAAATTAAATGATATATAGAGGATATTAAATGAGTGTAGTTTAATACTAAATTTATTGAACGAGTTGAATAAAATCATATTATGCGAGCCTCTGGCGAGCATAATATTGTTTTATTCAACGAGTTCAATAAATTTAGTATTGAATCTACACGAATATAATATTCTATTTATCACATACATAAAATAAGAACAGTAAACTGTTAAAATGAGTAATTTTTCAATGACGCGCCCATAGTGTAACGCTAACATTAGCGCACTTTAACGCTATATATGTTTCTATATAGCGCAAATGACGTCACGTCAAAGTGTTTATTAAATTGTTAATTTATTTTTTATTAAATAGCTTTATTACACTCCTGCGCCGCGGTTTATGTGATAAATATCATTTACAATTGTATTTTAAATTCAGTTCCCTTTGTAGAAAAATTATATATAAATTAAAAGTATTTTTAAAACGAAAGTTTCTTGTAAAGTTCAATAAGAAAATTATTGGTCACTGTTTGTTAAATATAAGGAAGCATTTCCTCTACATTTTCCAAAACGAGCATAAAGTATGTTAATCAAACAAGTTTACATAAGAAATGTTAATATCATTTGATTGGAATAAACAGTAAATACTGTTATATACTGTAACACTGTTATATACTGTTTATTGGAATAAACAGTATATAAAGTTGCATGCCTCCAACCACAATATTAGAAGGAAATCAAACTTGAGATAAAATTTGTGCCATTTGCGCCAAAAATCTCCCTTTGCGTTATTTAGACATCGGTTCAATACACGGTTCACTCGGTCATATAATATTTTTGTTTGTTTCATTGTACGCCTTTTCCCAACAGTATTTTAGTCATATAGGCGGGTAGTTTCCTAACCATCGTTCCTGGAGAGTTACACCAGTACTAGACAACCTTCCTCCGCGCTAAACTAAAAAATAAAGCATCCCCGGGGATCGAACCCACGACAGAGCGTTTACTGGATGAAAGTCACCGACTCTAACCTCTCGACCACGGAGGCTATATATCAAAATATGAAGTAGTAAAAACGTTATTTAGAAAACAAGACGGTAATCGATATATACAGTTACGGAATGAAGCGTCCATGCACGTAGTGTTAAGTAACGTAAATGATATTTTCCGATTTTTCTATGAACCAATTTGTTCACTCCGATTTTAATTTCTCGTTTAAGTAAAGCCGTGTTTTTAAACGGGGCATGCGCAAAACAATTTTTGAAGACTGCTCCTAATGATTTTACGCTTAAAATTAGATTCATTCACTGCAATCAGATACGCAAAACAGTGGTTCCAAAAAATTTATGCTGTTTTGCAATTTTTCGATGTCTCGGATACGTTATTATGTATTCATAACTTTAGTTAATCGGTACTTTTGGCAGAAATTATGTGCCAATGCTTAAAACACTAGAAAATATGCAAAAACACCACAAAATGTGATTTTAATGCCTTACACCATTCTCAAAAATATTCAAAATCGGTCTTTTTGCCCTGTCGCTAGTAACGGTAGTATATTTTAAATGAGTATTAACAACAGTTAATGAAATTTCTAAGAAAAAAACTTTTCTCAGTAACTAAAATAGACCTATCTTGTACTTATAAAGAAGGAAAATATCTAGTCTAGTTCAAAACCTCACAGATCGGTTTGATACTTCTATGTCTCCAAAATAGTATTAACTTCCGTTACAGTTATAAAACTTTGTTTTATAATGGTATGTACATTCAATAATGTCGTATATATGGGATATAATATCAGTGGATGTTGTTAAAAATTGTTATATTACCCTTATATGTTATCAAAGTTACATATTCGAGCATCATAGCCCATCATACAGTTTCCACTGAGAAAAAACAAAAACGTGTTTAACTTCCGTGACCAAAAGTTTAGGAACATTGCAAGGTATAACTTCCCTATAATGGTTCATAATGATTTTTTAGGCTTACACGAAGATGGTGTAATGGTTGTTATTATTTTAAAATTGATATGAATATTGAAAATCGGTTTTCAAAGAACATTTTTTTAACTTCCGTTACTGTTAACTTCCGTGACATTTTTGGTAATTGTTATCCTACCTATGCTATGATGATGTTAAAAGATATTTGAAACACTCTAAAAGTATTGTTTAGATCAAAGCCAGCATACTTTGAAAATTGCAAAAAAGTTGCAATAATATTAATTCAAAATTAGCTTCTATCGTTAACTGGTGAGTGTTCATTAATATTCTGTACAATTTCACTCTAACAAAAGTTTTATTTGAAAAAGAAAGTTATCTATGTGAGAACTGTATTTCTGTGAATGGAGAAATGTAGCAATTTGAAATCTTTTGTACTTCCATGTACATGCGTGATGATGCTAATGTCGTAGGAAAATGTATCTGCACAGTAACGGAAGTTAAATTCCAAATTGATTAAATTCTTTGATTGCAAAAAGATAGAAAAGTGATTTTAACAATATATTTTTATACATAAGCATATGCAGTTATTACCAATCGTAATTTTTATTTACAATATCGTGGCCAAAACAATGTTGTTCTTAAAAATTCAAGCAAGGGTAACGGAAGTTAAAAATTATTTGGCGGTTTTGTCTTCCTTTGCAAATAACCTGCATTAAGACAGAATTATTTGACAGAAAGTAGCAGTCCATCCCACAATATAAAAAAACCAACTGCATGTGACATTAACCTAACAACGTTCATCTTGAGAGTTCTGCATAATTATGTAAAGTGTGTGGTAACGGAAGTTAATAGGATTCCGGTCTGTTTCAATAAACCAGTTTGATCCAATCATTGATACAGAATAATAATCATTGGATTGGCAAAACTAGAATTTTTTGTGGTGTTGTATGACAAATGTTATATATTTTACTTGAATTAAGCCAAAGTTATACAAAACATTATGCATTATAAATATATTGATTTTTGTTCTTTTCCTTAGTTATGTGTTGGCCATATCTATAAAGCGATGGTCATTAAAGAGCTAAAAGAAGCATATATTTTAACAAATTGACTGCAATTATTAAAATAATCCACTTCTATATAATACAACAACAAATATGTATTAGATAATTAGTTCGTAACATTTTCTATAAGATTTTCACCGAGTTTAATGTTATCATTTTATCGGAATCAAAATTGGACCCGCTTCATGAGCTCTAGGACCTTTATGGAAAACTGAACATGGCTTTAGTATGTAACGGTAAGACCTAGTATTAATTAATATATTCGTTGTCTAATTTGTGTGTGCCCTTTACCAAAACTGATAATTCTTGACATTTGGTAACACGATTTGACAAGTGCAGCTGGTCTCTACATTCTAAAAATATCTTTTATGACATTTTAAGTGAATAATAACTTTGATATCTGATGAAAATACATCTTGAAGTGGTCAAGGTCACAAAGTAACATTGGTTTTCGAATTTTCCTTATAGAGTTCATAATGATCTCACATACCTGAACCAAAGATGATGGTAATTGCAATATTTATTCAAGTAAGCCATATATTGCCCAAATAGCCCTCTTGTTAATATACTGAATTTAGATATGACATAGATATATTACTGGCAAATATATTAATTCATGAATATTGTCAAAATATTTCCCTTAATTTTCCATCTTTCAAAGCAAAATGCTTTAATTTATTAATTATTTCGGTTGATACAAATCAAGGAAACTGTACAGATACATTTAGTTTGTTAAAAAGTATGGTATGTTGGTCGGACGTCAGTTGATGCATTTAAAATCAAATTCATTAAACCATACAAACATACATGAAAAATTGTTAACATCCGTTACCTAAGTAAAATACATGTTATTGATACATTTTCTCAAGCAAATGCCAGTATTTGCTAAACAGTGAGTTCCAAATATTTAACACTTGAAGCAAATCTTTTGTTTACGAAACATTCTTTATTTGAATTTTTTTTTTAATTTCATAAACCTTTACATTGAAAAATAATATACCACTGTTACAAACATAACCCTGTTTCTTGGAAGGCACCTTTCCAGCTTGTATGCGTATGCTGTAGGACTATTATGTTATTTTGTATTGTGCACACTCATGCTGCAAACAATTTACTTAACTTGCCCGATATACATTAGAAGCAAGTTATTTGAAGTAAAATATAAAATGTTTGACAGCAAATATCTGACGGTTTAACTTCCGTTACTGACTCTATATGTAAAACTAACAAATACAAGAAAACATAATTTGATAACATTTGATAACAGTCAATGCCAATGGTTTCTATTGAATATGTATGTAGCTGAATATGACAAAAGTGTAACACTCTTTCTTTTTTTTATTAGTTTTGCGATTGTTTTCTTAAAAGAAAATAGTCACGTTTTAAACCTGCTCACTTAAGTTATTCTCTGTTTTATTATTTTTATAAAAATGGTCTTTTGTGTCAAATATTCCGTATATATTTTATATATACGATATATATATATATATAAGATCTCTTCTGCTTGCCAATATGTTTTAATCATTGATAAACTGAGATCTAGAACAGTAAAATACTTCATATTTGACCCTATTCAGAAGTTTAACTTCCGTTACATTGAAAATAAGGTGTACATTTTTGAGTCAAAGCAATTTGAAAATCTGTCACATTTGGTTAGCATTTTTTTGTAACAAGTCGCCTAACATATTTTACTTATTGAAAAAGTTGTTAAATCATGATTTCATGTTGAATGATTTTAAGTCATTTTTCATATCTGAAACCATCATAAATTTCTGGATTGACTGAAAAATGGATGCCACCAGCAATCAGTCTGAACACTATGGAGAGGTCTGATGACCTCTCCAATATTAGTGACGGGAAAAGGTTCAATTTCCGTAAAATACTTCTGTGTCATAAGCTAATTGACGGTGTCAGTGAAACATGCGAATGATGACAAATACACTGCTTATCAAATCTTTATCCTCTATAAGTCAAGGAATATGAGCGTTTAGCACTTTAACTTTATATATGATTATATATGCAGGTGCTTGATCGACGCCGGATTTGGAACAATAAAGAAGTACAGTTGAGTTCACACTAAACTTCCCACCCTTGTGCACTTCTAGTGCACTAGAGCTGAACTAGAAGTGCACACCGTGTGCACTTCTAGTGCACTAGACCATATGACCAGGCTGGCCAGGGAAGGTGAATGACACCTAAATGGTTTATTGGATAATTGTATATCAAGTGAAAGGGGGCATCTATTGTTAAGCTGCTGTCAGAAAAAAAACTTTGGGCATATATGGCCTATTCAT